TGTTTTGTCATTTAACAAAAAACTTTCAATAATTATCGGCGATTAAACTACTATTATTGAAATTTTTAAATTTAATTTATTGTACTTATTGTATTTATTATATTTTTGTTATAACTTATTGATTAATATTTAATTGGAGATTAAACTATTATTTGAGATTATACTATTTATTGACTAATTTAATATATTTTTAGTACTTATTTTATTTTATAATCATTATATTTTTTTTTCATTATCAATATATTTTCAATAATTGTGTACTTTTGCTATAAATTTTCAATAATTATTGGAGATTAAACTATTGTTATTTATCAAAGATGAGGCTATTTATTTAGCTAAAATTATGAGTGTTCATGAGTTTTGGTTCATTCGTAGGCTATTTGGCCAACCAAATTGACCTGGTCAGGTTGGGGAGTTGGTCAGCTAAAACCGACTGACCTTTTGTGAAAACCGATCCACTCAAGTTGTATCAATTTGGGTCGATTTCTTGGTTTGGTCAGTTGGTTCAAAAGATTTGAACTTAAAAGTTAAATTGAATTTTAAAAATTACAGTGCAATTATTAAAAAATAATTAAAAAAATTAGATTTATGATATAAAACAATTTAGACTAAGAAATATGGGAAATTTCCCACTTTTCCATGTTAAAAATTATATTTAAAATATAAAATATTAATATATATCCATGGTTAGGTCATTCTATTTTGTTTGGTTTATAAATGGCCAAAGTGAAACTGATCCAACTTGGTCGAATTTGAAAATTTTTGAACCAAAGCCGACCTAAACTACTAGAAAACCGACCAACTTGGCTCGAGTTGATCGGTTTCATTAGTTTGATGAATAAACCTGACTGAAATTAATTATTGTTATTTTTGTATTATAAAAAAATTATTATAAGTAGTATATAAAATGTGAATAGTTATTAATTATTTAAAAAATTGAAAATATAAAACAATTGTATACTCTTATGTGTTTCTATTAGGGTCATTTACTAGAACACACTTTATAGTTTTACATATTTACTTAAACCTACCTTATAGTTTTCATTTTACTAAAACATCCCATATATTTTACAACTTATTTACTTAATCAACCTTTCATTAAGGTGTGTTTGTTTTGCCATTAGGCCCATGATTTTTTATTCCAAAAATACCCTTAACACTTTTTTGTACATAAGGGTTACTTTAGTAAATGACCCTTTCTATTATTTAGCTTTCGCATAATAAATCCCGTGCATTGCACGGGTCCCTGCTAGATGGTGCAAATGGATCATGGGTTGTGTTCGGAATTGTCATTGTTCAATGCTAGTGAATGGGACAGTGGTAGGTTTCTTTCCAACCATTAGGGTATAAGACAGGGAGACCCCTTATCTCCTTTTTTGTTCTTACTGGTTGCTGATGTTATGGGGAAGTTGATCCCTAGAGCAGACTCTAGGGGTGTCATTAGCGGTTGGAGGGTTGGAAGGGAGGACATCCCAATCACTCACTTACAGTTTGTTGATGATACGATCCTGTTTTGTGAAGGAGGTAATGTGAGCTACATTAGGAATCTGAAATTGGTGATCCAATTATTTGAGTAAATGTCAAATTTGAAGGTGAACTTTGGGAAGAGTTGTGTAATGGGTGTGAATCTGAAGGAGAGAGATTAGGGAGAGTGTAGAAGTACTTGGGTGTGAAGTCTCAGGGTGGCCTTTGAGTTATCTAGGGTTGCCCCTAGGTGATAATCCTAAGAGAGAGAGCTTTTGGAATCCAGTGGTGGAAAGATTTGAAAAAAGGCTTGTCTCTTGGAAAAAGAATTACCTCTCTCTGGGTGGTAGGATTACACTGATCAAGGCCGCGCTAGCAAACATACCCATTTATTTCCTTTTAGTGTTTAAGATTCCAGGGAAGGTTTGTAATAGGTCGAAGAGGTTGATGAGAGATTTCCTTTGGGAGCCGGGAGAGGAGAAGAGGGACCATAGAGTTAGCTGGAAGGTGGTGACTAGGAGTAAAAATTATGGTGGTTTGGGGCTTGGGAACATTGAGAAAAGGAATTTGGCCCTTTTGGGGAAGTGGTTGTGGAGGTTTCCTTTGGAGCAGGAGAAGCTATGGGCTAAGTGGCAAGCATACACGGGTTGGAGCAAAATGGATGGGAATATGGGATGCTGGAATCAGAGCAAGGACCACAAGCACTTCACCTTGGAAAGCCATTCATAATCTGCTTCCAGTTTTCTCCCCTCTTGTCAGGTATGATTTGAATTCAGGTAATTCCATAAAATTCTGGAAACAAATTTGGGTGGGGAATGCTCCTCTTAAGGACCACTTTCCTTCTTTGTATGCTGTTTTTGATTTAAAAAATGAGCCAATTTCTTCTTTCATCACCCCTTCCTCTTCCAGTTCGGGTTTAGGTGGAACCTGGGTCTGAGGAGGGCTGTGAGGGACTCAGACCTTGATAGTATTTCGAGCCTCTTTGAACTTCTTGATAATATTTTCTTAGATCCTTCTAAGGTGGACTCTAGAATTTGGATCCCTACTCCCATAGGCTCTTTTTCTTGTGCTTCCTTCTCCAAAGTCCTTTGCTAGTCCACCGGTCCTACAACCTCCCCTTTCCCTGTTAATGAGGTTTGGTGCAGACCAATTCCTCCTAGGGTTGGTAGTTTTTGTTGGGAAGCTTATTTGGAAAGATTCAACACTGGGAATTTGCTCCAAAAGAAGAGACCCAATACTTGCTTGTCACCTCATTGGTGTGTTCTTTGCAAAGTGGATGGGGAGACTGGTTTTCAGTTACTAGTGTCTTGCCAATTTGCAAAGTCAATTTGGGAGTGGGTTTTTTCTCTCTTTGGGTGCAGGTGGAACCCTCCATCAGACTTGCAGACAGAGCCTCTTTTTCCCTTCTTTTTTCAGGTGGCACATGAAAAGGGGAAGGACTATGTGGAGAGGATTGAGGGCTGCAGTATGCTGGTCATTATGGGAAGAAAGAAATTCTAGGATCTTCTCAGAAAATGAGAGAGGGTCTGAAGAATCGAGGGCTGTGATCCATATAAGGGCTGTACAGGGGCTGAAATCACTAAAGCTATTTACAGACTACACAGTGGAAGACATGTTGAGAAAGTAGGGTAAGATTGCAAACTGCACACGGATCAAACCAACAATAATAAGGGTGTCTGGGACTCCCCCACCTGTTGGCTTCTTAAAATTAAATTTTGATGGGAGTTGTAGGGGGAATCCTGGACAATCAGGGATTGGAGGTGGTTTTAGGGATGAGAACGGGATCATCTCTGCCCTGTTCTTAGGCCCAATTGGAGTGGGGGATTCCCTTAGAGCTGAGGTCTTGGCAGTTATGGAAGGAGTTCAGAAAGCCAAGGAGATGAATGTCAGAAAACTCTTAATTGAAGGGGACTTGGAGGTGGTTATAGGGTGGCTGATTAAAGACAACTGCGGCTTATGGAACTACAGAAATGAGAAGAGGAAATTCAGGTGGCTGGTGCGGGGGATGGAAATCAAGATGAGTTGGGTTAAGAGATCAGCTAATTCTTTAGCTGATGGATTAACTAAACAAGGGATAGAAAGGGAAGCAATGTTTTGGGCTAAGTTGTAACTTAACTGTTTCTTTTTCCTTTTCTTTCTTTGGAGGGTTTAAGTTGTATTCGGAAGATAAGAGTGTTTGTCTTCCTTGCTGTAAATAGTATGATGTTTCAATGAATATAATGAATCTGTTATTGATAAAAAAAATCAGCAAATAACTCCAATGATTTAACCCACTGAACCACCCTAATAGTGATAGTCTCAATAATAGCCCCTCTACCCCTTTCCTTATCTGAGAATATCCTTGAATCCCTTTCCTCCCAAATGGTCCAACTCAAAGCAGCTCTTAAACATCTCCACATCAATCTTCCCCTCTTCTTTGGCCAACTAAAAAATTGTAGAGGCAAACAAACTTGCACATTTGACACCCAAACAAGGAGAAAAAACCATTCCCATATGGAAATTACAAAGGGGCAGGAGATTACTAAGTGATAGCAAGACTCTCCATTAGTTTTATAGAGAACACACAATGCGGGGATAAGTACCAGTTCGGTCTTTTTCTTTAAAGCAAATATCATGTATTTATTCTTTTTATGAACACTTCCCAACAGAAACCTCCAATTCTGGGAGGGATAGGTTTACACCAAACCTCCTTAACAGGGAAAGGTTGCCTTAAACTAACCGAGGGTTGAGATAAGACCTTGAAAAAGGAAGCACAAGAGGAGGTACCAGTGGAGGAGTGAGTCCAAATTCGACTATCAGGTTTGGATGGGTCCAAGAAAATCCCTCCAAGGATATGAAGCAAAGCCAAGACACTGTTTAATTCCGTATCTCTTAGATCCCTTCTTAGGCCCAAATCCCAATCAAAACCAGTGCTTGAACTAGAAGGAACTAGGAAAGTGGAAATAGGCTCATCTTTGTATCTTGAAAGGGCAAACAAGGAAGAAAATTTATCTTTCAAAGCAAGATCTTTCACCTAGACATGCTCCCAAAACCTTATAAAATTACCAGAGTATAGATCATACCTGATACCCGGTAGGAAAAAAGGTAGAATAGCATGGATGGCCTTCTAGAGAGAAGCTCTTGTGGCCCTAGTTAGTACTCCAGCATCCCAACCATCTGCCAAAAGCTTGTGAATGCTCACAATTATCTTCACCCATAGTTTATCCCTATCCTCAGGTAGTCTCCAAAGCCCAATAAAGCCACATTTCTCTTCTGAAAATTTCCTAACCCTAGACCCCCATACTCCTTGCTTCTACTAACTACTTCCCACCTAACTCTATGTTTGGTTAACTATCTCAGAATTGCTATTATGAACATACTTGTTTGAAACAAAATCTGTATCGGGAGCACTTTATTATTAGTCCTCGTGCTTGTTGGAGCCTTTCTTGTACTGCTTTTTCTTTGCTACATCTTAATTAAATATTTGTTAGTCATAAATAATAAGAGTAAAATTAAAACAAAAAACTGTTCTGGATTTCCAATCTAATACTTTACAGGGTGTGGGAAGCGGACTGTTGTTAGATATGTTGCTCGCCGCTTAGGTCTACATGTGGTTGAATATAGCTGTCACGATCTAATGGCATCATCTGAAAGAAAGGCATCTATTGCACTAGCTCAAGCTTTCACCACTGCTAAGAGGTATTTGTGAAAAAAAAAGTGTCTTATGATTTTATTCTTGGTTTCCTTCAACTGCTTTGCTCCACTATATTCTAACTTCCCTTCTTGTTCTTTTCAACTCAATCAGATAATAATTTGGTTAAATTACATATTGCCATTGCTGTACTTAGGGGTTGGCAACACTTATCCATCCAAACTTTGTTTTGCAACAAAGACCATCTTAAACTTTTGTGTTTCAGCACTTCGCCTCCTGTAAATGGGGTTGATGGTGAAGGTATAATTACAATTTACAAAATTGCCCATTTGAGGTTCATGGGCTAAGAAAAAAACTATCAAAATGACAAATATGGACATGCTAAAGCACAATATCTCTTTTGGGCCGGGTTACTGTGCTTTGAAACCCTCAATGATCAAGTTGTGAAGCAGTGAAGACTGAAGAGTGGATTGTTCATGTTTAGTGGTGATGCAACAACTGACAAGATAATACTGGTGGTTTATGTAGATGATATGATTATTACTGAAAGTGACAGCCAGGGGATAGACAGACTCAAACAGTTTTTGCAATAGCATTTTCATGCCAAGGACCTAAGCATGCTAATGCTATTTTTTTTCTGGGAATTGAGGTGGCTCAGTCTATGCATGGTATTGGTTTATATTAGTGAAAGTATGCGCTAGATGTTCTTGATGAGATTAGGTTGTTGAGTGCCCGACCTGTTGAGACTCCCATTGACCCCAACATTAAGTGCTGAGTAGGGGGAGCTATATGATAATACAATAAGGTATAGAAGACTAGTTGGCATCAAATGCTTTCAATGTGGAGGCGTTTCACTACTTGGAGGCATGAGGCATAGTTCAGAATGCAAGAGGCATAAGCCTCCTCAAGAGGAGGAAGAAGAAGGAGGATCTCATTTTGTTTTTCTTGTTTCTTTTTTATGAAAGATGTTTTGTATTAAGAAGAATGGAGATGCATAACACTAACTGAAAGAGGGATCCTGTTTTATTTTCTTTCTTTTCCGTTCCGTTCCGTTCCGTTCCCTTTCCTTTTATTCTTTTTATATTAGATGTGCATGAGGCGTACATGCATTTGAGACGTACACCTCAGAGGCATCAACATGTCCAGCATGTGCCTCAGGGCATCTTGAGGGTGCCTTTCCTAGAGACGGGCCTCCAAGCATACACCTCCACACCTTTTAAAACATTGATTGGCATGTTTAATTATCTGATTATCACAAGACCCAATATTTCATTTGATGCGTGTTGTAAATCAGTTTTTGCAGAATCCTTGGGTCCATTTTAGGATGCTGCGGTTAGGATAGCCAGATATTTGAAAGGAACTCTTGGCTGTGGTCTGTTATATAGGGCAAATGCTCATTTGGAGTAGAGGGCTGTGTTGATGTTCATGGTGCTGGTTCTATTGGTGGCAGCCTGACAGGAGATCTGCTACTGTTTCTACACATTTATTAGTGGCAATCTTGTCACTAGGAAGAGTAAGAAACAAGGTCTACTGGCACAGCCACAAAGTAGCATAGAAGCAAAGTATAGGGCAGTGGCCCATACTACATGTGAGTTGGTTTGGCTCCAACATCTCCTTCAAGAACTTGGATACTGTGTTACAACTTCCATGAATCTATATTGTGATAACTCGGAGGCAGTTCATTTTGCTTCCAACCCAATCATCCATTGAAAAACAGAGCATACGACCATTGAAAAACAGAGCATACGGTTGATTTTCACTTTGTTTGAGAAAAAGTAGTGAATGACACTATTTGTACTAGTTTTGTGCGGTAGAAAGTCAATGGACATATTTGTTTACTAAGAGTTTGAATGGGGTGAGAGTGATTCATATTTGTAACAGGGCTGTATGATATCAATGTTCCAGCTTGAGGGAAAGTGTTAAGAGACATGTGAATAGGGGAATTAGTCTCCTTTTACAAGTCTGTCTCTACTTTAATGAACCTGTCCCATACTAATTAGGGGCAGAATGGTATTCTGTGTTGCCTCTTAAATCTTAATGTATAAATAAACCTGGATGCTAGAGGGGGAGGGTGATTCTCTCTCTCTCTCTCTCTCTCTTTCTCTCTCTCTCATCTTCTATTCTCTTTCTCTCTTTTCGTTCTTTCTTGCAGACTGAAAACCATTTACAGACAAAATTTGTTATTGTAATCTTTTTTACTGCTTTATTGAAAAAGAAAACTTGCACACTAGAAGTATCCATTATTGGTTTTGAATTCTATTTTGATGAGATGGGTATCCTGAGCTTGTTCAGATATTCAGATATTATAGACTCAGTATATGGGTTCTATTATTTAGATATTTTTGTAGTTCCTTTGCCCATATGCTTAAGATAAGAATGGGCTAATTTTTTGTTCTTGTAGTTGATTTTGTTGTTTTCTTGTTGATTGTTTCTGAAGTATAATTTGTAACAGATATTCTCCAACAATACTTCTGCTACGCCATTTTGATGTTTTCCGGAATTTGTCCTCTCATGAGGGTTCACAATCTGATCAAGTTGGCATTGCCTCTGAAATTGCATCTGTCATTCGGGAGTTTACTGAGCCAATTTCTAAAGACAAAAACTCCCATGCTGGGGAGAAAGCAAATGGTGTCTTTGTAAGATGCATATAACCATAGATCATTCTTTATTTATTTAAAAATGAAATTTGTTAACGAATTGTTTTTTAATTGTTAGAAGTATGCTTTTACATTCAAGACTCAAAAAACTATAGCAAACTGTTTATATCAAATAAGAGCTGATTCATTATCATCATCATCTAAGCCTTGTCCCAACCATATGGGGCCGGGTACAAGAATCTCATTTCGCCATTCTGTTCTGTTCAATGCCATCTTGTAATCATTTTCTCTTCTAGTCTTGCAACCACCGTCTCTTCTATATGTATGTCATTTACTTGCCATTTTGATTTTCCATCCTTTTTGATACTTTATGTTTGATTAAATTGAAATCCCCTTTTCTATTGTGTGTGTGCCTTTTTTTTATTATAGTGACATAAAAAATGAATCACATTCAGAATAGTAAGCCAATAATCCAATGATAGAACCTCCATTTGTAAATATTTCTAGATAGATGATTTCAGCAAAATATTGTAAAGTTTTCATGAAATTCTAAAATATTAAATTTTAGATGTTTAATTTATCAATGAAATTCAAAATATTTCAGAGACATCTGAGATATGGGTGAGAGAAAAAAATTTATAGAATACTTCATGTTGCCCCTAGAGAAATGGGGATATTTCACCAAATCTCACTGATATTATGGACCATGGGGCTCAAAAGGATTTATGGAATTCTTCTCCTTATTCTAGATTCTTGCAAAATGTTTTGGTTCAAAGGATCATGCTACTAGTTGTAGATAAGCTCTTTTGTGGGAAAGTTTTAAATCAAAAGTGAGAACTTGGAGGGCTATTACTAATCCAGAAAGATCCAATACAAGGTTGAATAAGGCTGGCGTGCACTACAGGATTCAATACATGGTCAATCCAGTGGATGCCATATTGGATGAACAGTCTGGACTGGCCACTGATTCCTCCATGTGGGTAAACCGGTAAAATAGATTAAGTCATGTGGAGACATGCATAAATAGAAAACAGGAGCAGTTTTTCTATAGTAATCTTTTTTTTTTATTCATAAAAGGAAATCTGACACATTGCAAATTAACTTGGAGCTCAAATCTCCACGTTCCTCTCTCAATCTCACATGTAACAAAATAATCATACTTTTTATAGGTTAGTTTTATATTAAAAATGCTTGATTGCTAATATTAGTTGTATAAACTACCAATATCAGGTGGGGCATTGGCTGATATGGACTGTGAGACTGAACAGTGGGCAATCCAGTGGGATTGAACACTGGAAGAAATATGTGGGTTCATGTAGGGAAGCTTTCTACTTGATCCAATTAAGAAAATTATTGTTATTATTTATCTCTTTCCTTCACTTCATGCGAGATAGAGGAGCTACATGAATTTCTGTTATCTAATATCTCAAAAAGAAAGCACAATGTTTATAGTATATTGGATAAAGTTTCTTATATTTCTTTTTATTTTATTGCATTATTGAAATCTCATAGAAGTTGAATAGTTTTAACTTTTCAGAATTTTTTTTTTATTAGTAACTTAAAAGAATTTTAACTTGCTGAAGATACATGACGATTTTTTTTTTTTTTTTTTTGTATATTCCACTGGGTTTGCATGTTAAGCAGTCTGAGAGGGAATTTGCACACCAGGTCTTGCTAGTTGCAACAGGTGATGGTTCTGACGGTTTACCACCATCCATTAGACGTTGCTTCAGCCATGAAATAAGCATGGGCCCTTTGAATGAGGAGCAGAAGTTTGAAATGCTGTCCCAATTAATCCAAAGTCTTTCCAAAGTTCTTGATCATGTATGTTAAGGGTATCTATCTTCCCATCTTTTTTCTTTTTTTTTTGTTTATTTGGTTTTTAATAAAATATAAGGCCTTGAACCTCCTTGATGTAGTGGCTCTGATCCATTACATTTTATTACATCAAAAGTCAACTTCTTGTTTGATTTTTTCTTTGTAGTCCTTTTCTGCATGCCATTATTTTATTTTATTTTCTTGAATATCGCTATAATTGAACATATGAGATCATTCATCTAATTTAGATCTCCTATAGGAATCAGCTGGCAAGGGGCCATTTCTTGTGGCAATGGTAAAATCTTGGGCTGAATAAGTGTGAAATCAAGTCTAAAAGTAGCCAATTTGTGCAAAAAATTGCCAAAGCTTAGGTCCATATCCTTTCAACCCTACCAAGGTACTGGATATCTGGGACCAACATAGATAATGGCCCTTTTATAGGAATCAACTATGAGTCCTGGATAACCTAAATGTTGATTATATTTGCTAGAATTGCTATTTGATATACAATATGGACTGTATCAAGGATACAGTTGATTTTTTTTTTTTGGGTTCTTATAAATCATGATTGTTCCTTGCAGAATGGTGTAGACGATGTTATTAAGGACATAGTTGGACAGACATCAGGTTTCATGCCTAGAGATTTACGGGCTCTAATTGCTGATGCTGCTGCAAATTTAGTGCCAAGGCTCATTGATGAGAAAGATAAAGTCGAGTCTAGAGTCTCAGATGAGAATAATTCCTTAAAGTCATTCCAGTATAATATGTTGGAAAAAGAAGAGCTAGCTAAAGCTTTGGAGCGATCAAAGAGAAGGACTGCGTCTGCCTTAGGAACTCCAAAGGTGAAACAAGCAGTCAGGAGTAATGAGAGAATCATTATATTTCTTGATTTGTCATTATTGTTGTGACGAGATTAGATATCTAATATTGACATTCTTTTTGGGAAGAAAGTCACTATTATTTTAGATGGGTGGGCGCAGATATGATATCGGCACCTGTAAAGGTTTTTCAATTATTTGACTGAAAAGATTCTTGGTTTTGTACCAAAACTTTCTTCCTGCATGTATATGAGATGTTTGAGTTTGGAATACTATGATGTAGGTGCCCAATGTAAAATGGGAAGATGTAGGCGGACTTGAGGATGTAAAGAAATCAATCCTAGATACTGTTCAGGTACAGATTTCCTCTCTCTCTATTCGCTCCGGATGTATAGATTTGCCCATATGTATAATTGTACATAGAAATGTGTGTGCATACATGCTTATGTTTACATAATTAAGCATACAAATTAAAGGGAACTCCGGATCTGTCAAATTGAAGAATAGCACGCAGATGAATAAGGATATCTCTGTTCCTTTGCAAAGTTAGATTTTCTCTACACATTATGTTTTCTTAGCAAGGTAATCTGCTGCTGAATTCACTTCTCTATAACAGTGCTGGATGCTAATCTGTTCCTCACAATTGAATGGTGAATCAGGATTCATGTAGCTGACCTCATATAGTTGGGACTTGGGACAAGACTTAGATGATGATGATAAAATCAAGTCCAATTCTTCCATATGATACCAAAGTTTCCAAGGAAACCTTGACTGGTTACTTAGGATACTCACTAATGTTGGAGAATCAAATCTGACAGATATTCTGTCAAACAAAAGCCTTACAGTAGCAAATCCATCCAAAGGTATCCTAGCTTCAGCTTGGTCATCCTGCCACAGTAGTGAGAAAAACCAAGGATGAGAGATCCATTGCAATACCTTATTACTCTTCCTCTGCCAGTTTCAACTGTATTACCTCTAGCCACACCACAATAAAAACTCCCCTAGTTTAGGTGTTTAGAGATTCTGGGTGTTAAGATGTTGTATATTATTAGGAAAAATCTATGCTGCTGCAAAGACATGATATTGGAAGGGTTTTGACCAATAAAATCTCCTTGTGAATTTTGATAAATATCACCTAATTGGTTACCACTTTTATTGATACCGGTTCAGTGGTTACAAGTTTTTCTGGCATCATGTCTTTCTGGTATCATAGTCAAACCCATATTATTATCATGAGTCGTACTATGTATTTTTCTTTATTTATTTCATTGCAGCCCAATGAAGGCCATATTGTATTTGTACATATCTTTATTCTTAGTAAATATATTAGACTCTATGGCATGGGGGTTGATCACTTTGACACCCCATAACTGCTTTTATTCTTCTTCTGCAGTTATCTCTTGAGAAAACCCTAGTTCAATTGATAGGGTATCAGAGCTGGTTGGATATTTGATTCATCCAACCACTAGAGACATTAGGGAAGCTCTGATAGGGTATCAGAGCTGGTACACCTATCCTTTCAGAGCTGATATATCTGTCCTTTCAGTTTCTGGTACTAGTTTGGATTCTGTGCCTGAAACAGGTACTCTAGCATCCCAGTTGGGAAGAACAACTAGTAGAGGGAGGCTTGATCTGGTGGTTGTGAAGAAGGGGAGGGGGATCTGAATGTTAAAAAGAAACAGGATGACCTGGAAAGAATCTGGGAGCAGATTTGTGTGCTCCTAGAAGAATATAAACAGAAAGAAGAATTGATGGAGACTACCCCAAAAAAGAATGAACTCTCTTTCAGCACTCAAATGTCGAAGAGTTGACTTAGGTGGGTCAAAAACATTGGTTTTCCCAATGAGAATCATAAGTTGGAAAGTGAGGGGATCAAGGAGTGCACGGAAAAGAAGACCAATTGAGGACCTACTCAGGAAAGAAAGGTCCGATATTGTGATTCTACAGGAAACCAAGTTAGCAGAGATGGATAGAAGATGGGTTAGAAGTGTGGAAATCAAGAGTGAGTTGAGTTTTGGTGCCCCCTGGTATGAGTTAAATAATTATAGAGAGAGGAATGAGATGTGGGAAGAGTTATATGGTAACCAAGGGTTGGAGGGGGGGTCCTTGGTGTGTGGGGGGAGATTTTAATGTAATCAGGTTCACTATGAATCAAATAATCCCCAACAGTCTAGTGATAGCTCTATGCCTATGTAACTCTCTGAGTGTTTATCTGTCGTGTACATTGCCTCATGTACCTCTTATTTTTGAATAAAGTTAACCTTTTCTCAAAAAATAATCCCCAACAGTCAATTACATTCAACATGAGGAACTTCGGTGATTTTATTAATAATTGTAATTGGAAGAAATTCCTCTAATGCAAGCTAATTTTACTTGGTCCAACTTTTAGGAGAGCCTAATTTGCTAAAACTTAGATATTTTTGTTCAATGATGGATGGGAGAGTCATTGGAGGGGTTTGGTGGCTAAAGCTTTGTCTAGAGTTACCTTTGATCATTGTCCTATAGTTTAGGCCTAGAACCTCTAGGAAGTGGACCGAGACTTTTTAGATTTGCGAATATGTGGTTGACTCACCCTGACTTTATGCATAAGGTTGAAGAATGATAGAATGAAGATTTGAGGGGGTGAAGTGGAAGGGAGTGTGGTCTAAGCCCATCCCCTCCTAAGGTTGGAGCCCTTTGTTGGGAAGCCTCTTTTGGGAAATTAAACACTTTGCATACCTTGCAAAAGAAAAGGCCCAACCTTTGCATCTCCCCAAGCTGGTGTTTCCTGTTCAGAGCAAATGGAGAGAGCTGTTACCATCTTCTAACTTCTTGCCCTTTTGTAGTGAATCTTTGGGAAAATTTTTTGGTCTTTTTGGGTGTAGGTGGACGGTGCCTCTGTAAATTAGGGGGCTTTTCGACCCTACAAGTTTCAGGTGGCCTAAGAGAAGAGGTAGAGTTTTATGGAGATGTGTTAGGGCTGCCTTAGTATGAGATGTAAACCAGTCCTCAAAAATAGGTGTAAACTTGAAAAATTAGAGAGAAAAAGGAGGAAGAAAAGTAAGAGCAGCAGTACAAGAGAAGATGGAGAAAAGAGGAGGAAGAAGAAGAAAGGTTCGAATAATCCTTCCCTCTCTTCTCTAATCTTTTTTACTAAAAATTAATGTTAAAATAATTACAAGTATGCCCTTAAGTGGGCGGCCAGCTAGGCAGTAACATAAAGAAATCAAACAAAAAGAAATAACAGGCCCATTAAGAGAGGCCCATTGGCTAACAGGAAAATAGAA